GACCTAGGGACTGATTTCGAGTTTCGAAGAATTCTAGCATGCCTTTAACATAGTGAGCGTCAACATTGTTCGCGTTGAGGCAGTTTTGCACCAACTTTTGTTACCGATGAGCTAGAGCAAGCTTCTTCACCAAAGGTGAGAGGTTGAGATCCTTTGCAACAAAGAAGTTCTCAGAACTGAAACTGAGGGTTTTGGATGTCATAATTGTGTTGAAGTAGTCGGTGGGGGGGGGGGGGTCATAGCATACTTTGGAAACAATTAGGAGACGCATGTCTTTGGGCATGAATTCAAGGGTGAGGGTATTATGTTGTTTTGGATTCATGAAATTCATCGGAAAATGATAGAGGTTTTTTTTATTCTAACGCTGTCCTTATTAGTTTATTTGTGTTGTGCACTTGTTTATATAGGACGTTGGTTTGATTGTAACGTCGTTTACGTTTTTAAATATAATTATTGGAAGCCATAATTTTGTGTTGAATTTCTTTGCGGGTTGATTGTTATTATTTATGTTGTACCGTTGCATGTATGCTGAGTGGGTTGATGTGTAATTTATGGTTATTAAAAATTAACCGACCGGATTTCCTTATGATTTTGCTTGGTTTTAATACTTATAATATTAATTTGAAAGGTAATTTATAAGTGGGTATCGAATAAACCTTTTTTGGTTTGCTTGACATTAGATAAGTTTGTATTTGTTGCAAACGCCATAGATTTGTGGAATAATTTTAAAATTATTTTGAGGGTTTGATTTACCTTTTTAGGTATTTATTATCATTATCTGAAATATCTAAATAGATGTGTCTGTAACGTGACATTGAACGCAAAAAAAAACTTCAAATTGCTTTAATTTTGGTATTATAGATGATTTATGCCATTATTTGATGTGTTTCCGTTTTAACAACAAAAACTTAAAAAAAAATCTGGGCCTCTACCACACAAAATAGCCAGCCCAACAACAACCACAAAACCGACAAACAGAAAACCAATTGAAACCGAAACGGGTGAGATAAATTTTGTTTGGTCTATATGGTTTAGGTTATTGCTGACATGGCTTTTTTTGCCCCCTCACAAATGCTGATGTGGATGCATGAGAAGGGAGAGAAACCTACTTTATTGTATAAGATATTATGATTTAAGAAGATCATTAACGTCAAGAGCAAATTGTCAGCCGTTAAGAAGTTTATAATATTTGAAGTGGAGGTACACATCCACTATCAAATAAAAATAAATAGTATTTTTTGAAGTGGAGCAATATTGCAAATCCTTAAAAAAACTTGGAAAATACTACCACTATTTTTGACAAAAGGGAAATAATACCACGAAGCTCGATAAGAATGTTTTGTATAATAGTGGTTTTGAGTATTATGTGCGTGAAGAATATTTGCATAACAATGAAATAGAGTGTACGATCGACATTAAAGTTAGCTAACGTAAGGGCTAAAGATATAACAAGTAAATATATACATTTATCGTTGGAAAACAAACTATGCCAAGTTAGATATCCAAAATGTTTCTTGGGCAGTCCACAAGCCAATCTAGTACAAGTATTTAATCAAGTTTGCATACAGAAAAACGTTTGCATACAAACAAAAATGCATATATTACAAATATATTATGCGGCCTAAATTGGACCTGTCTGAATTTACATATCTTTTTGTAAGTTTGTGCACGAGAATCCGCTGCAAATGCAATTATTGGGTAATTAAATGGATAAATGTATGCGTACTTAGGTATGTGTAGTAAGTTAATTGAAAGAATTTAATACATTAATTATCAAATGCAAATTTACAGATTTTTATTAGTTATCATTAACCGTGTATGAGCCTTAGTTTGAAACATGTAATGTAACCATGTTAGTCGATTTACACAAGAAATATGAACTTATTAGTCTTTTTGAAAAACAGAAAACTCTTTTTGCCAAAAATAAATAAAATACAGAAGACTCTTTTTGACGTGTTATAAAAATAAATGATTATAGACATATTATACTGTGTCTTTGACTAGGGTTTTTTAATTGTCTTTAATGCTCATCTAATTCTATAACGATTGATGGAGTATGTTTTCCTTAAAAATTATTTTCTGCTTTGTTTATTTTCATGACAAATAACATATACTACCAATCTATTGCTACTAAATTTTAATGTTTGTTTGTAGTATCATAAACATTTTAAATTTTCAGTGAGTTAAAGTCTTTCTTTTTCAAGTACCTGAATTAAATAAAAGTTCAACCATCCACTTTACATTTTTATTTGTTGTCTTTTTCTCCGTCCTACATGGGTCAATGGCTTTTTGAAGGATATTCCACAGAAAAGTAAACCAAACAATGCACTGATATTTTACATTGATTATACATACTATATATAGGTTAAAGAACCCCTCTCAAAAGGGATCATTGTATTCTTAGTCCTAAACAGAGTATAACAACAACAAAAAGTATAACAAAACACAGACACTCACCAATGGATGACTTTTATTCTCCTATTTGGCTACATCAAGAGGTATCATCATCACATCTTTTGTTGTTTTTTTGGTTGTGGCAGTTTTCTTTGTTTCTATAAAATATGAATTATTGTTTACCATTTTTGTAAATGCAGAGCTTTGATGAGATGAGGCAGAATCTGCAGAACACTCTGTTCGAGTTAGAGACATTAAAAATGGAAGCCAATGAGAAATCAAGAACACATACAGAAGAAGTCAACCATCTTCTCACTCTCCTCAAATCCACTCAACAAGAACGAGACGAAGCTAGACAACAACTATCTCAGTTTCTCATCCAAACCCAAAACTCTAATTCAAGAAGCATCACTGAGTCAAACAGCGAACATTCATCTTCTTCCTCAGAACTCTCAAGCTTACTGAACATTGATCACCCTCAGCCATCGATGGTCCTTAAAGATCCAACGGCTCATAACCATCGTCAGTTAGATCCTATGGACGCTCTCGTGATGGGGAAAGCTTTTCCTGAAACGGGGAAGCTGTTAAAAGCGGTGGTGGAAGCTGGACCGCTTCTTCAAACGCTTCTTGTGGCGGGACCGCTGCCAAAATGGGTAAACCCACCGCCTCAAACGCAATCGCAGCGTTTTGAACTACCTCCTCCATTCTCGTTTAATAATAACAGCTCGCTAACGTGTTCTGGTTCGGTTATGAGATTTGGGTTCGGTTCGAGTTCGGTTATCGATCAAACGATGTTAACCGGAAAGAGGCAGAGATTAGAGTAAGCTAATCATTTTACGAGATTTATCAGATCAGTATTGTAAGTTGGGAGTTTATTTTTGTCCCTTCTTTATGATCCTATCACCGGTTTGACCGGTTCGGTTGTTATGTCAAATTTGGTTTCAAAATGTCAAATTTGGTTCCGGGTAATAAATTTATTTTCTGCACCAGTCACGGTTTCATTACCACTTTGTTTCCATTTGAAAAATGTTTGATTTGTGTCTAAATAATTATGAGAATATAAAAGAATTAATGGACTTAAAGTGCAAAAAAAAATGACTAGAAAATAATAAATAATTATCTTCTGTTCTCCCTCTTTACTGAAGAAAGATTGTTTCACTTTCTTGGTCTGGGTATTATAACAACATCTTCACATTGTTACTTGTTAAACCTAAACAAGCTATTCAACCAAAAGCCGGTTTAGAATTAAAAAATTCAACTAAATGTTGTTGGGCCCACTCGAAAGCAGGACCCTCCAAAAATAGGCGTATGCCACTTAGCATGGAGAGCACACGGTATTCTTTAGTAAAAGGCGAAAGAATAGTTCGCTTTGTGCTCACCACATGGCTGCGTGTTTCAACAAGTGAGAAGGAGACCTTTGTTTATAATCCAACTTCTGCTTCTCATTTTGTACACCTTCGATGTGGGACACTCAAAAAAGGATCACAAACGGTACTTGATGGGCTTCAATGGACCATAAATAATTTTGGGCTTTACATCGAATTATATGTGTATAAGTAGGCGCACTGCCACTGTAATTAATCGATCAACAAATAAATACAAAATTCGTTTTTCTATCAAAAGCTTATGGTCAAACCAAAGGCTGGTCGGTATCAGATATATAAATGTGACCCATCTTCTTGCGTTTGGTCTCCATGTATCTTCTGTTCTCATTAGTGATTGGTGTCACCACCGGCACACGCCCAACTACGGCAAGTCCATACCCTTTCAGCCCTGTGAACTTCGCCGGATTATTCGTCATCAGTCTCATTGTTCTTACTCCTATGTCCCTAAGCATCTACATTTTGGACCATTATTTCCAAAACCAATTGAACTAAGATTATTATCTGTAACTTTAAACAAAAAACTTTAAAACCAAATCGGATATAGTATGGCTGACCTGAGCACCAATACCGTATTCACGAGCATCAATAGCTAGGCCAAGTTCAAGATTAGCCTGAACAGTGTCATGTCCCTCGTCTTGCAAGTTGTAAGCTCTTAGCTTGTGACCAAGACCAATGCCTCTTCCTTCGTGTCCCCTAAGATACACAACCACTCCTCTTCCCTCTTTCTCGATTAGCTGCATGGCTAACTCTAATTGGTTTCCACAGTCACATCGTGCTGAACCGAAAATGTCTCCGGTTAAGCACTCTGAATGCACTCGTACCAGAATATCCTGACCGTTTCCAATGTTTCCCTAGTTAAGATTCACACAGAAACAAACACAAGACTGGTCTTAATCAAAAACTGATCAAGAGTTTGATCTTAGGAAAGTGGTGTTTGATGTACCTTAACAAGAGCTATATTTTCGGTTCCATCAAGTTTTGATCGATAGCAATAAGCTTGAAAAAGACCCCATTTGGTAGGTAAACGAGACACAGTGATTCTCTCCACAAGCTTATCTCGCTTTCTTCTATATCTACAAGTATATGACACTGCCCAAAGTTTAGCAACATGGCTGGCTTTGAACATAGTCTAATGAAAACATTGTTTTAAAAAAAAAAGAGAGTACATATATAGGCTCTAAACTTATATAATTTTCTTATAAACATTTACTAAATTGTTTATATCCCTAAAAATCTTAGGACCGGCCATGTTTAGCAGTTTACTTACCTGATTAGATCAGTCAATGATACAATGGGAATGTCATGTTCTGTAGAAAGCTTTTTCATATACGGTAGTGAAGCCATAGAGCCATCTTCTTGATCAAGAATGGCTGAAAGAACAGAGACTGGACGTAAACCAGCTAATAACATTAGATCTACCGAAGCTTCAGTGTGACCGGCTCTTCTCAAAACTCCACCTTCTCTGTACTTGAGAGGGAACACATGACCTGGTCTCCTGAAGTCATCTGGTTTAGCTTCAACAGAGGCAAGTGTAAGAACCGTCATGGCCCTGTCTGAAGCTGAGACTCCTGTTGATGTTCCTGACTTTGCATCCTGTAACCAAGAACTACATAAGAGAGATGAAAACCCTCTTGAGAGTTGAGAATCATATCATATATGTCTTTTGCAAATTTTTACGACGGTGATGGTGAAAGTTGGTGCAGAGGAATCTTCATCTTCCATTTCAGGTGACATGAGTGTAAGGTTTAATCTTTCGAGGTCTTCTTTCTTCATACCAACTGAGACAATCCCAGAACCGTTTTTGATTAGAAACGCTATGTCTTTTGGACTCGTTAGAGTTGCTGCCATGATCAGGTTCCCTTCAACATCTCCGTTTTCATCGTCAACAACGATCACAAACTGATAAGAGAGAAAGAAACATGCTAAAGACAGATTCTACAGAATTTTTTTTTTTCTTAATACCAAGAGGTTCGGTGCTTAGACCCGAAACCACAACATGTAATATTAATTTCGTCCCAACAGTCACTAGAAATCTACACAACTGAAACAAGAGATAAAACTTAATCAATGGGTCTTCAGAAAGAACAAACCTTCCCTTGGCGGAGAGATTGAAGAGCGATTTCGATAGAGGAGTAGCCTTGAGTAGGACAATCTGGATCACCTTCTGCGTCACTCACGAAGAAATCAACAGTTTCAGGCGTGATCTCCGCGTCAACATGATCAAAGAAAGAACCCTCTGTTTCTCTGAGAGGAGATCTTTCATTGGGATCACTGTTACCAATAGCCTTGGTCTCCCAAGATAAACCGCTAACCAATCTCCAGCAAGTTCTAGTAGCTGCAAACCTAGGCGACCTGTACAAGTAAGAGAGCTACTGTTTTCAAGGAGACAACACAGTAAAACCACACATAATAAAGGGGGAGAGAGTTATCATCAAACCTTGAGTTAATGAAGCTGTGTGCGAAAAAGATGCTAGGAGATAAAGCAGAATCCATCAACAGGATCAAATAACGCAGAGGTTAAACGAAAATCTCTTTGATACTATCGATTCGCTGCTTCTCGTCTCCTTTAGGTTGTTTACGACCACGAGTTTTGGATTAGGACTTATCTTCTTTCTTTGTGTTTCTGTCATTACACATCATCATCGTACTGACAAGAGTTGTGTTTCTCAGGGGCCACACGTTGTTTTTTTTTTTTTTAAATATACTTTTTTGGGTCTAAAGAAAAAGAAATATTTCTTTAAAAGGAAACCCTCTAGTCTGTCTGGAAGGTCTCGTTGATCTTTTATTGACTCGAGTGCTGACGTGGCGGATCCTTACAAAACCCCAACGAACTGTACTTGAGAAAGGAAAGGAAAAGGACGGTGGAGAAAAACCGGATCTAGTCGGAGATTCGCCGGAGAATTTGTTTCAGAGGAAGAGACTTAAGTTTCTCCGATCTCACTAGATCGGTCATTGCATTATACCTGTTCTTCGTGTAAGTTTGAAATCTCTGAGCCTTCAAAGGTGTAGTTACGTAACCGGCGACATGGCTGAGCCGGAGACAGTAGACGGAGTGAAGGAGAACAAGTTATGGAAAGGTGTGTTCGCGGTTTCCGGCATTATGTCTACTCTTGTCATCTATGGTGTTCTTCAGGTCTGTTTCTTGTGTTGTCATGATACATAGTACAGTCTCTGTTCTATGGAATCTAGTTAAAAAGGTTATATATTTCTTTGTGGGTTTTTTTTTTGTAGGAGAAGATAATGAGAGTTCCTTATGGATTGAACAAAGAGTTCTTTAAGTACTCTCTGTTTCTTGTTTTCTGCAATCGTCTCACTACTTCAGCTGTTTCTGCTGGTGCTTTACTGGTATACTAGCGAAGTCCCAACTTGTGTTTATAATTCATAGTTAATTACCAAACCTATTTGGCTTTTAAAAAGAAAAAAAAATTGTAGGCAAGCAAGAAGGTTTTGGATCCTGTAGCTCCGGTTTACAAATATTGCCTTATTTCAGTGACTAATATTTTAACCACAACATGCCAATATGAGGTAGTGTTGTATCTTTTAACTCCACTCTTAGTTTATGAGCTTAGTGTGTTAGATTTTATAGCTATTGTCTTTGCCTATGTCTCCAGGCTCTTAAGTATGTGAGCTTCCCGGTCCAAACTCTAGCTAAATGTGCCAAAATGATACCAGTTATGGTAAGTTAAATCTTTTTTTCCCGTGGAGGCATTTGAGTTTAGCATCGTCCTTCTTATATTTATGTTTTGTACAGGTATGGGGAACTCTCATCATGCAGAAAAAGTACAAGGGATTTGACTATCTAGTGGCTTTTCTGGTCACCCTGGGGTGCTCTGTATTCATTCTTTTCCCGGTATAAATCCTCTCTATAGGCCTAAAAATCAGCATAAGATGTTCTGATGTTTGTTTATGTAATGTGAGCTGTAGGCAGGAGATGACGTTAGTCCTTACAATAAGGGAAGGGAAAATACTGTTTGGGGTGTTTCCCTGATGGCTGGTTATCTTGGGTATGTATATCCACTTATATATGTTCACTGCTTACGCTATTAGACTGAGACTTTGTTGTTACTTACTACTCACAAGTTATGAATTATTATTGTGTATTTGGTAATCTGGCTTTATCTAACAGGTTTGATGGCTTTACAAGCACATTCCAAGACAAACTCTTTAAAGGGTATAATATGGAGATACATAACCAAATATTCTACACAACACTTTGTTCTTGTGTTCTCAGTTTCACTGGTGAGAATCTTACTTGTTCCTGCAACTCTCATGAGTTGCATCTTTTAATGTAAATCATGCTCTTTGCTTATCATTTTGTAATTTTTTATTTATTTAGGACTTATATTGCAAGGCCATTTACTACTAGCTGTAGATTTTGTTTCTCGCCATAGAGATTGTTTACTTGACATCGCTCTGCTTTCCACAGTAAGTTTCAGTTTCCTCTATTTTTCTTTCTACTTAGTCATTACAATACCATGTAGTTTTTCCACATCTCATGATACAATCTTCATATCTTTTCTCTTAAATTTCCACTGAATCTTCCAGGTTGCAACAGCAAGCCAGTTCTTCATTTCTTACACCATTAGGACATTTGGTGCTCTAACATTTGCTGCAATCATGACAACGAGACAGGTAAGAAAAACTAACCCGGTCTCAATCCTTACTAAACCGTCTTAACTAACACCACATCCCTTTCTATCTGTCTTAATAAAGCTCGCAAGCATCATGCTCTCATGCGTTTGGTTCTCTCATCCGCTTAGCTGGGAGCAGTGTATTGGATCGGTATATCTTTTTGACTCTCTTACATTTTATGGAACTTGAACCAGTAGATCCTATAAAAGCTTAGGCAGATGATACTCTGACTAACCAAAGTTCATTCAAATATCAGGTCATTGTGTTTGGGTCTTTATACGCTAAAAACTTACTGAACAACAACAAAAAATCAGAAAAGCAACCGCCTCAGCCTCCAGAACTTCCGCAGTATGAAAAGCCTGAGGGCTCTTAAGACGCAAACGTTTTCAACACTAGATAAAGAATAGGTTTCATATTGTCAGACTGTATTTTTTTCTATCTTTTATTTATTTCATTTTGTTGAATCTCTTCTAGGATTATACTTCTATATATACATAATACATATGTATTTCGATGACATCTGATGTGTAGCCACTGAGACACCAGATTGATTCCTAATATAAGAATGATTCATTCAACGAAGAAGAATTTTATTTTTATTTTTTGAGAAAGGACCTAACGGAGAAGAATTGTTCTAGTGAACAACTAAACATTATAACAAGGTTTTCTCTTACATGTTAGTATCAGTCTTATATTATATCACGTGGACCAATTCTTAATTTTTATACATGCTTGAATACTTAGGGCGAGAGAATCCTTAAGAACATTTATTGATAAGTTTTGTTGTAGAGGTAATCATTGATAAGTTAGCTGGTTAACTGTCTATAAACTTTTTATCCACGAACTGAGAAATAATATTAAAATGTGTGTAACTGTCTATAACGTCCACGGTCTAAAATAAACTGTTTAACTTATAGTCCATCAAAGACTACTTGTTTCTAGAGACAATAAGAAAGTCCCCTGACGTGTATATATTAGTTATGTAATCCCACTACTTACACATGAACAGTTTTAATTACACGACAAGTGAATTTTTTCGCGACTATATATGAAGTATATGCACTATGTAGGCATCCCACATGTATATGAATAACACAAGTGTAGCCAGCCATATAGATATTTTATACATGTATGTATATACGTATAACCGTCGTTGTATACGCCCCTTTGACTTGATTTAACAATTGTTGAACGAAATTACGCATCAAGCAAAATGTTGCTTATAGAAAATCTCCTTCAAATGAAAGCCTTCAGTCAATAAAGAAAATTTCCTTCAATATTTTGGGTATTTTTTTGTAAGAAAATATTACTTTGGGTATTTGAAGACCAATTTTGTTTCAAAAAAAAAAAGAAGAATACCAGTTTATATGAAGACGTTTTAATGAATATAGTATATTGTACATGCGATGTCTTATAAATTATTCTCGAATATTTACTCAGGAACAATGTAAGTTATGGACCTTCCTAATGTTTTGACGAGGTCTTATGTTTTACGAATTAATAATTTCATCAAGAAAACGTCTTAGGTTCTATTATAGTGTTCTTGTTTCATTTCGGTTATGGTCAAACAAGATAATTCGATTCCACACATTTTATTATAGTTTTCCAGTTCATGTATAAAAGGTTCTTCAACATGTTATCTGGATATACCCGTAAACAAACGCTGGACTTGTGATAATCGGGTTCAATAAGAAAAATATAACTTTTATTGTAAGTAAAATATATTAAAAATTATATAAAACAAAAAATAATTTAGACATGATCAGTGAAAAATTATCTAAATTTTTTTTTCATAATATTATATTTTATTCATTTGCAACTCATATTTTTTACTACTATGTTTTCAGTTTTTGTGTGTTTATCATATTAACTTCTTTTCATAATTTAAACTAATAATTTTTTTATAAAAAACTAGGGCCCTTGCATAAAGCAAATCCAAGAACGTGCTTATGTCGGGCGGGACAAACGGTCAAGTTTTATAAGTTTTTTGCAAAGTCAAAGTCTTTGTTTTTGTATGAATGTAAGGCAAGGTCAATGTCTTTCGTTATTATTCGGACAAAAACAAAACCTAAGTGCTCTAAGAATGCAAGTCGTTTAGCTCTTGAGTCAGTCTATTCGAAATCACTAGGGGCCATGGAGAATGAGGACAATACGTACTCGACTCACGTGCCGCTTTTTGAATCACCTTAAGATTCTTTCTCTATTTCATTGTCTTTCATTTCCTGATTTAGACTTATTTTACCTTTCCACGACAAAAGAAATTTACGTATTGTGTTTTCCGTTAGGTGGTAACTAACTTTAGAGCCAAACATATAGTAGTCTTCAAGCTTATTATTACATGTTTACATCACGTTAAATATTTTTGATAATCGGTTGAAACTATATCATTTATGTATGAAATTACATAGATCAGCTCACCATAGGGTACAGTAGAAAGCTTAAAATTAGCATATATTAAAATCTAAAATTCAAGAGTTATGATCATCTTATGTATTTTTTTATTTTGAATCTTCTAAGTTTTTTTGTATATGAATATTGAAAATTCCGAAATAATGCCCAACTGGGGACATGTTTTACCGCTTGAAAGCTCAATTAATTTGAAATGGGAAAAAAATATGAATTAACATTCAACTTTTAAAGCACCTTCCTCACAAATCTTCGTTTCCCTAAATAGCAGGTAAAGCAGCTCAGTAACAGATTGTATTGTAGAAAACTTATTAACAGTTGCATATATTTTTCAAACATATTGTGTTTTCATTTGATCTATTTTTAATTAAAAAATAGTAACTACCAAATAAATACAAACTGTCAAAACGTAACTGACGAAGTTTATAACAAACGGACCACCATTAATGTAATTCAATTCGTATCACATAAATCATCATTCAGATAGCAATATTTTATATATACAGTAGTTCTAGTTTGGCAATTTGGTGATACTTCAAATTGACACCATTGATTTGTTTAAAGTTATAAAAAAATATTATTTCGAATCCATTCAGCTCTATGCATTCGTATCTGTAATCTTTCCTGGTTGCATTTAACTGTAAAATTACATCTTCTATACTATTATTTAAGAAGTAAATTTGCTTAGTTGTCATGTTCTCCATAAATTTAGGTAATTTTATTTATTTATCATATTTTTAATATTTATATATATATATATATATATATTATTTATAAATAAAACGAATTTATATGAATTATCTTATTTTCTATAAATTTGCTTAGTTGTCATGTTCTTTATAAGTTTAGGTAATTTTATTTATTTATCAAATTTTTAATATTTCTATATATTTTATATATAAATAAAACAAATTATAAGAATATATCATATTTTTAGAAAATAAGATAATTCTTGTGAATTATGTTGTTATTGAATTATGTTATTATCTTGAAATATATTTTTATTTATAAAACCGAAATTTTAAATTAAGATATAAAGACTTTTATACTTATCTTAAACGAATTTCTATTAATAACTGAATATTTAAATATAAATAAACCGAATTTATGTTAATAATTTGATATTTTCTAAAATAAGATAATTATTATGTATTATGTTGAAAATATATTTTCCTATTATAAAACTTAAAATTAAGATATAAAATTATATTATTAATAATTAAATATAAATAATCAAAAAAATTATTTGAAAGTGAATTTGAGATTTGTCTCCATGATCCTAGGTAATTTTGATCATTTATCAGAATTTATATAATTTTGTTTATTATTGATTATATAATTAAAACTAATTTGTATTAATAATATGATATCTTATAAAATAATTTAATTATTATGTATTATTAATGTAAATTTAATCAATTATAAAATAACTACAACTTTTTATATCTTAATTTTAAATTTCTAATAGAAAAATATATTTTCAAGAGAACAACTTAATACATAAGAAATATCTTATTTTCTAAGAATATGATGCTATTAATATAAATTTGTTTTAAAAATATAATAAATTATATATAAAATTAGAGAAATTAGGATAAAATATCAAAAATTCCCTAAAATCATGGAGAATATGACAAATCAACAAGCATTAAATTTATTTTTTAAATAATTGTATAGATTTTTTTGACATGTTAATTTTAAATTTTATAATAGAAAATTTATTTTCGAGATAACAGCATAATAAATAAGAATTAACTTATTTTCTAAACTATCATATTGTTAATATAAATTAGTTTTAATTATATAATCAATAATAAAAAAATTAGAGTAATTATGATAAATGATCAAAATTATCTAGGAACATGAAGAAAAATCAACAAATTCACTTTTCAAATAATTGCTTTGATGATTTATATTTAATTATTAATTGTATAATTTTTATATCTTAATATCAAGTTTTATAATAGGAAATATATTTTCAACATAACAACATAATACATAAGAATTATCTTATTTTAGAAAAATATAAAATTATTAATATAAATTCGTTTTTATTTTATAATAAATTT